ATATGTTTGTATGTATTTGCATTTTTTTTATATTTAACAGCAGTATATTTCAACGACTCGAAGTGAAGAGACCCTTCACTAGGTAAGTAAAGAAAAATACAAGTAAAGAAAATGTCAAACAAATACAGAGCAATGTGTATTCGAGCACAAATGTTGTGCCTTTGCTCTTAATAATTTTCTTTGTCAAGTTTTAAACTGACCCCACCATACGTGATTGCAAGAAATTTCATGCTACTGCTGCCAAATACAATTTTAATTTAATTTCATGCGGCTAGCATAAGTGCTTACCATTCTGAAAGCTTTGTGCGAGCGGAAAATGATAGCGAAAAAATTTTATAAAAAACATATGAAAACAATTAAGCTTATCAAGAGTCGTAGCTTTATATGTATGTACCTTAACGGCATGGAATTTCCAAAGCAACTCAAATGGATATCTGACGGCAAATGACAAATGTGTGTGAGATGGCAGCTGATAACTAGATGTAAGATGATAAATATTAAATGTATGACCGATGACAAATGACAAACAGATGTCTGATAGCCGCTGTCAAATAGATATCAGATTATAAATGTCAATTGGATGTCAGATAGCAGCTGTCAAATAAATGACAGATCGCAAATGTCAAAGGGATGTTAGCTGATAAATGTCAAATTTATGACAATTGGCAAAAGACAAACAGATGTCATATAGCAGCCATTTAATATATGCCAGATGACAAATGGGAACTGGATGTTAAATAGCGAATAACAATAAGCTGTCAGATAGCAACTGTTAAATATAGACGAATGACAAATGTCAAATAGATGACAGATGCCAAATGTCAAGGGCATGTCAGATAGCAAGTGTCAAATAGATGTCAGATTACAAAGGACAAATTTATGCTTAATGGCAAATGTCATATGGATTGAAGCGGACAGCTGTCAAACGTATGTCAGATGGCAAAGGTCAAACGCAAATGTCAAACGGATGTCTGATGGCAAGTACCATATGGATGTAAAATGGTACATGTCCAAAATAATGTCTCATGGCAGTGGTTCAAGTAATTTATTTCCAAAAAAAAATTACAGATCAAAACATATCATCCGACATTCAATATATGAACAGAATTTGGAGCGTTATGTGCGTCTCACAAAGGCCTTGCAAATCAGACCTATCGCGCCAATAAAGTGTCGAATATTGTGTTCGAAACATCCAGTTATCGTTGTGTCATCAATGGCATTGCCTATAACCAGTTGACGGACTCATTTCTTAATATTGTTTTAACCTCCCCTATATATTAGTGATAGCACGCTCTGAATAGTTTGTTGTACAGTACTGCTGAATCCAATGAGCACTTAGACAATTGATATCGATGTATAAAATTAAAAGGTAGATCATTCTTTGTCACTGACATCAAGGACGCTGAGTTTGATGCAATCTGTTTAGGAAAAGTTTTAATAAAGAATGGGACGTACAAAGCACGTCATACAAGTTAATTTTGGCTTCGTGGAAGAGTGGGACTAATGTATTTAAATGCATAAACTATTCCCTTAAAAGCATTTTAAGGCTTAGTAAAAACCAATAACGGGTATTTTCTTTATAAATAATAAGACCTTCTTTTTCTATAAGACCAATTTACGGTAGTTAGATATCGAAAAAATTGCTTACTACTGCTTCTTCAGTATAAGTAAAATTATCATGCTATCATCCAAATATATAGTCTTACGTTACAGTATAATCACAACAATATTAATTACATAATTTAAATACGAGATTACTACCGCCGTTAATGCAACCAAATTCTACATTTATCTAATCGCAAACGCTCATTTGTCTTTGCCACAAAATAGCCGGCAAGCTACAACCACTCAAGCATTGCAATATATATACACACTGCTACCCACTACCACCCGCAAGACGCATGCTCTGGCGCTGAGTGAGACCGCCAGTCACAATGGATTAGTGTCGGATGTGAGAAATTAACTTTGCAAACCAAAAGCAAAATTACGCTAAATGCAACTTAGCGCTCAAGTTTACATCTATATGTGCATGTGTGCATGCAAATGCCGACGCAAAGGATGCAAATGTGTAGGTGAGAAAATCCGTTTTAGTTTTTGCAATTAACATATTAAGCAAGAGATTAGCAGCCATCCAACGACTCGTGCAGGTAGACATATTTTAGTAGCAAACAGTCAGCACACACACATACAAGCACATGTGACGGTTAATGGCTGTAAAATGGTTGCGTGGTTGCCCTCAACAGATATATGAGCATGTATTGAGAACTTTGCGCGGTCATATATGGTCAAATGTAAATATGCTTGCATGTGTGTGTGTACAGGTATATGTATATGTGTGTCTGCTTTTGTAGGTGTACAAACACTATGCATCCTCAAGCTTTGCGGTTAACATGCCACACAGACCGCTAGCTTGGGCCCAACTGGTTGGCGCTTTTTGTGAAGTACGGCACCTGTTTGCTGCAGCGTACACACACACATACACAACCGCATATACTTCGTCATATATGCATGTACATATGTATCTTAGTTGCTTGATATACTTTAATTTTCATATGCATCTGCCCTGCTCGCCCTTAATTTTGCCGCACACCTGCTTATTAGCATGCAAATTACAAGGCCTAAGCGCCTATTAGTCGTTCGTATTTAGTGGGCGTTTGTGCTGTATAAAAATTATGTAGCACAGTGTGCATATTTTGCATGTGTGCATTATAATTATCGTCAGTTTAAATATGTATGACCTGCTTTTGGGCGGTTAAGCAATTGTTAGTTCAAAATTTATTGAAATTGTAAATTTGCTAAATTGAATACTTGGCAGCCAAACTAAAGCGTTCGTAAGTGAAATGCTTTCGTTACTGGCTTATGTGGGGTAGTGCTTAAAATTTAGCTATTCATGGGTTGATTAAAAATTAAGCATAACTAGATTAAACATAAGTTTTGAAAAAATTTTTAAAATTAAAAAAGAAATAATTAAATAAATAAAAAATTAATTAATAATAACTTGCAGATGTATACATTAGGAAATTCTGTCTTGCTGTTCTCTTGGTATAAAATTAAAAAAGAGACTTTTTCTTTATAACCGAAATTATAACCGAATTTATAACCAAATTATAAAAGAAATTAGGTTTAGAGCATATTTTTTATACGTTTCACAGTACACACTATAATATTTTTATTTTAACTTCTGAGTATTAACCATACATTCTATAATTATAGATTATAATTGAAATAAGAATTATAGAATTTATATAATTACAGAATATATGGTGAATTATTAAAAACTTCTTAGCTTAGTAATTATGAATAAGTAATTTAATTTATATATTTTTTTTTGTTTGAATATAATATATCTTTTTATTGTATATATCTATATGTATATATACTTATATATAATATATGGTTAATACTAAAAATTTCTAAGTTAAAATAAAAAAATTAGCTCTTAAATTTTAATTCTATTAAAAATAAAAATAAAAATATATTATATGCAAAAAAAAATTAAAATTAAATTATGTATCCATAATTACAAAGCTCCGTGTTTTTTGCCTATTTATTTTATGGAAATTATAAATAATTCAGCGATATATTAATACTTCCTCAAACATTACATGTTGCTCCTAAAGATATGCTACGCTTATAATAATTATAAAATAGATCAGTTATTGTTGATACCAAACTTCAAAATGTACTAAAATATTATTAAAAAAGTTAACGAAATTCTTCTATCTCGCTTGAAAAATTTTGTATAAATTAAAATAAATACTTGTATATTTGTTCCACCTACAACGGTGCGCATGCGTAACTTTATAACATGATTTTACAATTCAAGCATATTTAAACATAATATATCAGCAAAAACATTTAAAAGCATGCCATGGCGTATACGTAATCAAAATCAATAAAACGGCAAAGAAAGTCTATGAAGTAATTTTATTAAAAAAATAAATAGTCTCGCACCTCAAGCTAAGTGCATTTTTTTTTATAAAAATATTGATTTACTACAATATTTAAAATACCCTAGTAGACTAGCTGAGTCTGCTAACATTTTATAATGAAAGGGGATTCAAATTTCAGACGAGAAATATATTATTATAACCTGAAAAGGCTATATTAAGTTTGCCACGAAGTGGTTAACACCCAAAGGGAAACGACGGAGACTTAACAAAGTAGCTATGTAATTGATCAACGTAACGAGCTGACTCCATTTGACCATGTCTGTCGGTCCATTTGTGTATATGTAAGCTAGACTCACAGTTTTTGAGATATCAATCAGAAATTTTGCACGTCACCCAGACGGTGCTCATTTTTCGAAACCACCAATATCGGATGACCAAAGCATATATCTGTCATATAAACTGAACGATCGTAATCATGTGTTTGTATTAAAAGCCTTTTCAATTGACGAGATATCTTCAAGAAATTTTGCATGGATTATTGTATAAAATAATTATGTAATCTCCAAAGAAATTGTTAAGATTGAACCTCTATAACATACAGCTGTCATACAAGCTGAATAATTGCACTCAAGTCCTTGTTTGGAATACTTTTTTATTTGACAAAGTATCTTCACGAAATATGGCATAGATTATTATTTATTGCATCGCTACAAGATCCAACGAAATTGTTCAAATAAGACCACTATGCATATAGCTGCCATATAAACTGACAAAATCTAGATTTTTGTACTCCTTTATGCTATGAAAAATGCACCTGTGAGGGGTATTAAAGCTTCGGTGCAGCCGAAATTAACTTTTATCTTGTTTTTCAAATAGAATATTACAAAATTTATAATTTAATTTTTTCTGCAAAGAACATTAAACAATAATATATATATATAACATAAGAAAAATCCATAAAATCATTTAACTAAGCTTAAAATAACTTAATCTATTTGCATGAATTTTGCTACACTGCGTATGAGTAACATTCCACCTGTACGTACTTAATTTGCTCAACAAAAGTAATTTATAAGTTGATGAAAATAAATGTTGTATAATTCTGAAGCAATACTGAACTTTAACACGCAAACATATAATTTTATGTCAGAAGTAATTAAATAAATTCAAAAATATATATTTTTCGTACTCACTTGCAATGTGCTCGTTATGGAAGGCCAACATTTGGTCGTCTGTTTATTTTTACCGTTTAAATTGCAAAATACGATACACAAGTTTTGCGTTTGAAGCAAATTTTTTTAGTTTAACCGTAATCACCGTGAAATACCGTAAAATTAAACGCGAAACCGAAACCGTATTTAAGCTAAACACAGTATACCGTTATATTACCGAAAACGCGAGAATTTAGCAATATGTATTTTTTCACAGATTAAGCTTTATGCAAAAACTAATAGCGCTTTTTTGCTTTCGCGCAGCTGTCACCGGTGGACGGTCACTCTATGCTCCCAATTATTTTGCTGAAACGCGTAAATTATGCTGACATCTTTGTAGTACTTTTGAGCAACAACAGCAGCAAACGCTTGCACCTGCAAAGAGAAAAAAGAGAGAGTGTGTGAGTGAGTGAGTGAAATCAACGCTTTAGTTATGTTTAAGAAAATTTAGTTGCTGTAAAAAACGTGAAAAATTCTGTTCGTAAGTTGAAAGAATTGCGACAAAAGTTTGCGCTAAGAAAAAATTGCATAAAATTTGCTTACGAAAGTTTGTCGCTTACGGCTATAAAATGTACCGAAAGTCAGACAAACGACAAATAAGGCAAGCGCGTTTAAAAAAATCTGAAGCGCTTAAAGCACCACATTTTTAGCTGGCTGTTGGACAAATTTTTACTTTCCGGCACTGGAGAGATATGCAACGCTGCTTTGTTTTTGTTTGTGTGCGCGAATGTTTCTGTATTATGTCAACTGCATTACCGTTAAGAGAATGCTTGCAGTAGTTGTACCGGTGAGCAAAAGAAATATTGTCACTGCTTAGGCGCAGACACAAGTCAAGTTGGTATTTCTTTACTTTTCGTTCTTGATTTTTTTTATTTTTTTTGTTGTTGCAATGGGGTTTTTATTCAGCATAGATTTGAGTTTATGTATTTGTTTATTTTCAGAAATTTTTTTTGTTGACAGACGCTTGACGCAGACGGATTTGCATAAGTTCAGTTTGCAAAGGTTGAGAGCGACAAAGAATGCCTGAGATTCCTTAAAACTTAACGCAAAGAAAACGTAAAGAGGGAGATTGGTAACGTTTCACAAAATGCACTCAGATAGGCTTCAGGCTTATGCGAGGCATGAGTTTCATTGCAGTTTGCGCAGATTTTAACATCATTTTTTGATTGAAGCTGTTGCAGCATGTGAAAACCCCTATATATCAGTTAAATTCTAATAACCTATTGATTATGGTTTGTACCTAATGAGATTATTGATTTTTATATTTCAAGATAGTTATGAAAATGCATCAATTTTGTCCTTCATAGCAAAAAGTTGGGATCTAGGCTTTGAAACTCAACCATTAAAGCGGGTATTCTAGTCTAGAAATAAAATAAAAAATACATTTTTTTACTTTATATTTTCAAATTCTAACTATTCAAGAATATATCTACAGTTACAGTACAGAAGTTTCATTCAAAATTCAAATAATTTTCGGAAATATAGGTATTTTGCTGACCCAGGTTTGGTCGAAACTAAAATTTTAAACGCATTTTTGGTGAAACTGTCTTTTTAAAAACAGTATCCAAGATTTTTCAGGTTCTAATGGATCATTTAACTGAAATTTTTACGTAGTCTTCTTTGTAGACTTTTCCATGTCTGGAACTAGCTATATTCTAAATTACATTTGCATTATTTTTAAAAAAATTTAAAAATCCAAAAAATGGTACAAAAAGTTTTTTTTTTACAGGCAGTCGCCATTTCCTAAAAGAAAATTTTCCAAACTTTTCCGTAGTACCAGACATTGCGACATTGTTCTAAATTCATATTTATTTATATTTCTTTTTTTAGTTTCAGTTTGCTGAAGGGTTGAAATTGTGGGTATAGTCACGCGCCAATTTTTTGAGACCGCCTACTTTAGTAGCTGCTAATTTTAGAAATTTTTAATTTTTTTTTATTTTGTAATTTTAATAAATAGTTAATAAAAAAATGGTTTATAAAAATATGAATAGCCTTTTTTTAGGACACTTCACAAATTATCTGAAATTCATGCCTCTTGACTAGCAAACTACCTTAAAATTTTTTTGGAATTCTAACTTGAGTTTTAATTATGCTTGAACCCTTCTCTGTGCACACGCACAATTATAGAAAATTAGTTTCGTAATCTTACAATTATCTTTTAACGTTTAATCGATCGCATGTAAAAAAATTTCATATCGCTTTACGAACAAGCACGTCTTTCACGTTAAAAAATTTTTTTTTTTTTAAATCTATTAATACTTAAAACCTGCTAATGGCAGTTTTCACAATACTTTACGAGATAAAAGAGATAGATCACTCATTAAAAGAATCAAATATTCATAAGACCCGCTCAAATCGTCTGCCACTATTACTAGCAAAAAATTTTTTTAATCCGACATGCAACCCTGGGGGATTTGGAAATATTTCTCGATTGAAAAATAACCCAATCTTGTTGCAAAATCAAAAGGCTTCATGAAATTTGTGGCAATTTTGAAAGTGCAATGGATTTATGGATATTTAACTAAGTCCTCTAAGTACCAGAAATTTTAAAACTGTATAAATTGTAAAATAGTGTCCAGTTTAGCAATTTACTTTTATATACGTGAAGCTTTGGAAAGCTTAAGTTTGCAGGTCATACCACAGAGCTGTCAATTTTAACCAAATTTTTGAAAATAATACTAGAGTTTCTAAAGCTTCAATAGCGAAGCTCAAAATTTTTAAATCAATTCACATAATGAAACTAAAACATCCGACCAACTGTACAGTTATTTACATCAGCAAATGCTCCAAATATCAATAAATTTAGATTTTCACATAAAAAATGCATAATTCTCACCACCACCTGAGCGTGACTAATCCAAAAAAATCCTATTCTCTATTTAATTGTCTACAGCGGCTGACATTTACAATTTCACAGCAATTAAAACGAAAGCAATAAAATAAAATGCAAAGTCACCAACGCGCCAGTGTCTTTGCAACTGCATTTGGCGTACAGTTATATAACTACATATATATACATATATATATGTATATATGTGTGCGTGAGTGTGTCAACCGCAGATCGTGCTGATTGTGGTCAAACCGGCAAATCGCTGTCATTGACTTTCATTTCATTTTTTCAACAACATTCTTTTCAAGCGATTTTTTTACACTCAGCTACATATAGAATTACAAAGACATATGAATATACATGTATGTATATATTAACGTGTATAAATTTCAATATATAAATATATTTCTTTTTAATCCGCCTTTCAACTCGTGCGGCATGGCAAACGTTTTAGCTGCACAAAGCGCGACATGAATTATAGTGTCGAAAAAGTCAACTCTAAACACACACATACACATTCAGCGGTAAAATTGCCGCACATACAGCCATATAAATATTATACTAAAATAAATTGTATGAAAATATATACCTATGCATATAAGTATAGAGCGCGTATGTAAGCCACCAAAGTTAGTTAGTTAGTTAGTTGGTGAATAGGTGTTTTAGATGGATAGTGATTTGGGATTTTTGTAAATGCAAATTTATTACTACGAACTGATTTATGTGAAAAGCTCGTTGTAGACACGCTTATATAGCAGTACATATTCATTCATGTCTGCATTCAAACACATCGATTTGTTGAGCTAGTAAAAGATTTTTTTATCTTATTTTTTTTATTAAGGTCTATACTCTTTTCATGACTATAGAAATTACAGTTTATATTAAAATAAAATGTATTTAATTAGAAAATTTAAATTGATATTTCTCAGTTCTGAACACTATGAGCTAATTTTTATTATTTAAAAAAAGTTTACAAAAAAATTTGCAAATGTATTGAAAGTATTTCTAAAAAATTATTAAAATTTTTTCTGTAAAAAAAATATTAACAAGAATGTAGTGTTTCAAAAAAATATACTTTCTTTAAAAAAATCCAATTTTTAACTCGTTATTTTTCAATTTCGAACACTATAAGCTAATTTTGTATAATTAAAAAAGTGCTGAAAATGTATTTAAAATATTTCTAAAACAAAAATTAAAATTTTTTTTGTACTAAATAGATACTAACAAAAATATAGTGTTTAAAAAAAATATACTCTTATTTAAAAAAATCCAATTTTTTTCTTAAAATATAACTATTAAAATTTTTAAAAATATGTCTGCGTCAAAACGTTTTATTTAATTTTTTTTTTGTTTGTTTTTTTTTTTTTGTTTTTTTTTCAGCAAGGGTTTTTGTGAGGTCAAAACTTGATGAATCAAAAGTTAAGTTTTAAAATTATAAAAAAAGATTAAAAATTTTTCTGCAATAAAAACAGTTATAATAAATAATTCACAGTTTCAGAAATTAACATATTTAAAAAAAAAAAAAAAATTCTTCTGAAAAAATAACTAAAAAAAATTCTATATACATATGTTACATATATATTTGAGTCTAAACATTTTATTGATTTTTATTTTTGTATCTTTAGTAACAACGGTTTAATAAGGTAAAAATTTTACGATTCTTTTGTTGTAAGGCCAAAACTTGATCGTTATTTTCTAAGCAAGCTTATGAATATGTTTTAGAAATATTTAAAAAGAAATAAAAATGTGTCTGCAATAAAAAAACTATAATAAATAATTTGGAGTATATATACCTGAGTCTATCATTTCATTTATTTATTTAATTTTTTTCTATAATTTTTTTTAACAACATTTTTTATAAGGTCAAAATATCATAATTATTTTCTAACCAAAATTTTAGTTTTTATTTAAGAAAAAATTTAGTAAAAAAAATTAATTTAGTGTATTATCACAACAAAAACTTTTTTCAATTCAATGTATTTTCCAAATTTTTTTGGGAATGTTCCTTTAGTAAATTTATTTTAAAACTCACTAATAATGATCAATCAAAAAAAAACATTTTTATATGTGAAATTTTGTGACAATTCTGTTACATACATAGGAATTTAGTTTGGATTTTCGAAACCAATTTCTTTTTAAAGTTATAGTAAAGTGCGCATCATGAAGTATGCAATTAGAAAACATCTATTTTTTCCAATATGGTACCTTTAAAAATAACGTATTGAACTTCTAAATAAATATCTCAAATAGCTTTTGAGTTACAACCTCTTTTTTTTGTCATTTTGTAAATTTTTGTATTTCTTCGACCGTCGGTCATTGTATGACCAATAACTTCTGGTAGAAACTGTTTTTAAGTTTCATCCACGGAGTATTTTTTAAATACGCTTACAATTATAAAATAATTGATACAGTAGTTTATTTTTTAATTTGCAAAAATCGCATTTTTTAAGCTGTCACAAAAATTTATATGAAAATAAAATATATAGGAAATTAAATAGTATTTATAACACAAAATGATTTTTTAAACATGCAGTAATATGTGCAGAAACTCTTTTTGAAATAAAATTTTAATTCTGAAATTATTTTTCAATTAATTTTATAAAAAATACAGCAAAATCCTTAGAAATTGAAATTCTTCACGTAAATTTCGAGGTTATGTGAAAAAGGTGTTGATACGACTTTGCCACCTATAGGACTCGCAGTTAAGCCGGCAATCGCGATAAACCGATTTTAGCACATTTAAATTTAACCACGCCCCTAATCTGCCTCTTCCCAACCTCAGGGAACCACCTCGTTCATAAATCAGTTTTTCTTTCATGTTTGTTATATCATCTTTCGTTTCCAATGGATTTCAAATTACTATGAATTTCTTTCACTTATCACCATTTTCAAAGGCTTCTGTACTGATCTGCAACAACATATTTATGCTTCAAAAATCTCATTCCCACAATCACACTTCAAAATATTATTTTACTTAAGAAATTCAATAAAACACACATTCACT